ATTTATTTGTGATTGTTTTTAATGTAAGCATATAATATTACGGAATATTAATAATTTGAATAAAAATAAGATAAGAGAAATGGTATTAATTTTAAAAATAATGAGAGTTACAGGAACTGTTCGAAGTGGCCACCATCGCACTCAATACACAATTGGCCTGCCCGATCACCGGATCTAAATCCTGTGGATTTTTTCTTATGGGGTTACTTAAAACAATACGTTTACCAGGAACCGATTGATGATCTCGAAGAATAAGAAGACAAAATAATAGAAGCCATTGCCACTATAACGCCTGATTGTTAGTGCTACAACAAATCTTCTTCGATGCACCCAATTGTGTATCGAGTGCGATGGTGGTCACTTCGAACAGTTCCTGTAAATTTTTCATTATTTTTCAAATTAATACCATTTCTCTTATCTTACTTTTCTCTAAATTCATTATTTTTAAAATTAATACTATTTCTCTTATCTTACTTTTATTCATTGATATTTTGTAATATTATACTGATATTAAAAATAATCGTAAATAAACGAGACAAAGCTTAAAAGCGATCTCTTTGTCATTGTATGAAAAATTGAGACGCCTACAGCAAAAGTAACCTAACTGTCAAAATTCGATTTTTAAACATAAAACGTTATTAACTTATCAAATCATTAATATTTTTAAATAAGAAACTCAATTTCGATAATTAGATATTTTTGCGATAAGCGCATCAATTATGTCAATATTTAAATGTGAGTCAATGGACAAGGGCACCCCGCAATGTACCATGCCTGAGCGCGCGAATTTCAGACGCCGTAGGCGTCTATCCGTTAGGATAACTTTAATCGGTTATAATTTAAAAAGTATTATAGCCTCGACATTTTCGTAGAAGAGTTTTCGTCTTAGAATGCTCTCTAGAATCTGCCAGTGAAAGGACATACGACCTTTCTGATATATATATATATATACAGGGTGAGCCATTTTAATCGATCCACCCAAATATCTCCTAAAGTAAGCGCTATACAACAAAATTGTTTAAACAAAAGTTTTCGGACTTCGAGGGGGACATAAGATGATAACATTGGTTTGACCCTGAGTGGCGTCGTCAAGGTCAGG